TATTGTGAAACGAATTGTTTTTGTTTATCAATGGAAATGGAATTTTATATAAACAACATCATGGGGATATTATTGAAAAATTGACACTGTAGCATTATCCACGTAAACATAATTTTCTGGATTCATTTAAAATTTCAAGTTCTAATTTGATTCAAACTATGAATTGGGGACAAAACGCGTTTGAAAATATGTGTATTCGAGCATGATTACATCGGTTGCTTCTAACATCGTGTTAAAAATAAATAGTGATACCATTCTATCCTACAGACCAATGCAACTGTTTATGCATATCATGAAACTGTTACAGTGGATTCTACCACGTTTCCTACACCTTGATAACTATGTATTTGTACCCCCAATCCATGCAGTATCTGCATTCGATGGACTGCGACAAATAGAGCGAATACCTTCACCAAGACTCATCAAGTCACATCTTCCATACAAATTCTTTCCCCCACAAGCCCTTGAAAAGAAATGCAAGGTATATGACAATTGTTAGCATCATAATAATTTATCAATGATGCCAACTCCCTTTACTCTGTACGTTTATTACCAAAATCCTCAGTTATTATGCATATTGAACACTCATATGATTGTATTCACGGCGTAGTTCGGTTCATTTTCATGAAAACACTTAATTTGGCAGCCATATTTCCCAGCACTGTGTAAGATGAAATTGTTTGTAGTTGAATTATGACTTATAAAACATTTCTGCTTAACGGAACGTAAAAGCTGATGTATTCCAGTTAAGGCAGGCCTACTGGTCCCGTCATATTTTGTAGGGACAAGAACTCGTCAGTTTGTGGAAGAAAACCGCCATGCTAAAAGAACAATATGTCACGGGTATTATTCCTCCGATCGATGAATTCTTCAGGATATAATTACTCTATTTCATTATAACAAAAAATAATTGACAAACACAAACCGCATGCACGCAGCCACCTGCATGGAACTTTATTTTGGTACTCTATGTGTAAACCCTATTCAAAGCATATTAACTGAACCAAAGTTAATGATCTGAAAATGTTGAATAAAACTTATTGTGATATTTGCATTTCTTTATGTTTACTTTATATTCTAATACACGAATATAGAGCATTGCGACATGGCGTTACATAGTGGAATGTTGTCAAAATGTATTTCAAGGTACTTAGTTTGTATATAGTTTTAGAACAAATCTTTTTGTTGTATGATGTTACGCCATGCTTCAAACAAAAAGCATGTTTGATCTCTCAATCGCTGAATATTTGCATATGTTTTACAGATTATCTATGTTGCTCGTAACCCCAAAGACACAGCAGTGCCGTTGTACTATATGATGAAACTTATGCCTGTGTTCGGAATTTTTTTTCAATCTTGGAACCATTTTTATCAGTTATTTAGCTGTGGTAAAGGTGAGATAAATCACTGCCCTTTTAACATTAAACCATACCCTGTGTCCTCGGGTGTAATGGGCGGACGTAATGTGTTATATAATTCACCACTGAATGAGGTCGCCGCAAAACAATACATGGTATTCAACACTAGTTGTTATGCCATTTGCTTTCTGTGGTAATCTAGTGTCTTTGTCGTCGGGTCATACACCAGACTTCTCGTGTGTATTGCCAATGACGTGATGAGATTTGACTAAGCACTGCCTGCGTCCTCTGCCATTTAACAATCTATCACATCCTTTATTGTCGCTTGAACTCTGCTCTGATATACAATTTCATACTAAAGGTTCTTCAAACCACCAGTACGTCATTTTACTGTTTTCAGATAGTGACCACATTATAGTCCCCCGGTTGAGAACATTTGGCTATATTCGCAAACCTTGTGTAATGTAATAGGAATACATAATTTTTTTAGAATCCACTAAACACTTACACATCATAAATAATAAATAAAATATATGAACAAACTAAATTAAAATATAAATATATTCTTACAATAGTACAGTTTAATGTTTCGAATTTCATGTAATAATTGTATATACACCACTGTAATTGTAGCTGGATGTGGTGACTGGTTTGATCACCTGCTGGACTGGCATAAACACAAAGAGGAAGATAATATTATGTTTCTAAAGTATGAAGATATAAAGAAGGTTAGATCATGTATATGTATATATTATATATTCTACAAACTCTGTCGTCAAGGTGATTGTGATATTGCTGAATAATATTTACATAAAAATAATGGTATGATAATCGCTTTGTAAAAATATGCAGAATGTTAAACTCGTTCTGCACCCAGTATAAATGTTGAATGTTTTGTGGCATAAACATAATAATACAGTGGGCAAAAAAGGCCACGACACGCCAAGTTAGAACATTTCTTTGAATTTTTTTGAAACTCGAGGCAATGAAACAACATGTCGAGAATATTATATTCAAAATAAAAAGGAGTACGGATTGCATTTCTTGTATGGGCGCATATTGCGTTTTAATTATCAAATAATATATTTATTTAACTAAAGCCAAATATTGCTATTTTAATTATTATTGTTTGAAATGTTTGTTTTTCTGTAGGATATCAGGGCTACTATAAAGAAAATTGCTCTGTTCCTAGATATTGAAGTCACCGATGACGTCATGCAAAGAATTGTGGAATATTCTTCCATTAAGAAATGAAAGAAAACAAATCAGTGAACTTTATGGAAAGAAAAGTTGACAACCAAACTATTAGCTTCATCCGAAAAGGTAATTCGAATATATCATTGTGTAATTGTGTTAACTTTCTTTGCAAAGCACTCACAAATGTATTTACATAAATATCCATGGCACACTGTTA